CTCTACTGCGCAGACTCTGGCTCCAAACGAACCTCTACTGCGCAGACTCTGGCTCCAAACGAATCTCTACTGCGCATACTCTGGCTCCAAACGAATCTCTACTGCGCAGACTCTGGCTCCAAATGAATCTCTACTGCACAGACTCCGGCTCCAAACGAATCTCTACTGCGCAGACTCTGGCTCCAAACGAATCTCTACTGCGCAGACTCTGGTTACAAACGAATCTCTACTGCGCAGACTCTGGCTCCAAATGACGTCATTTACTCAAGATGGAAGCGGCCATACTGAGATGCTTTGGCTTCACTTTTCTATAATAAAAGGAATAGAAGACGTGTCGTCCATCTTTTTTTACGGTCTATGGGCACAACCCTAAAATATACCTTATCTACCCCGAAAGGGTGCCTATTAGTACCTTAAAGGGACAGTTCACCCAAAAATGAGACTTCTGTCATTCTAAACCTGCCTTTCTTTCATCTGTGGAAAGTAAAAGAAGATATTTTGACAGTGGGTTGGTTATTGTTAACCTAAAATATTACCATTTTCTGTAATTGAAGCTGAAATAAAATATAATTAAATTGAGAGCAAATAGATTTTGAGCCTGCAAGTCTCAATATGAACTCAAACACCAAATTCTGGCATGACCAAATTATCTGATTTATGCTATTAATATTAATTTTATAGCTCTATATACTCTTACTGGTATTTTAGGAGAACAACCTGAGTTGATGTTGATGGTTAAATAAAATAAATGAGAAGTCTCTTGAGCAAAGTCAAAAGAGCAACCACTGACTATGTTTCCTCTGTCAGCAAGTCGAAAGCTGAATGAAATAAAATATTCAGCAGGCTGAAATTAAATATAAATATTAAATGAAACTTGGCAACTAACTGAAATAAATTGTTGTATTGTTGTATTGTAAGTTGAAGCAAAATTACAAAAACTAAAACTTAAATGGAAATTAATTAAATCTATATTATAACAAAAATAAATATAATACAATAAATAAATAAATAAAATAATAAAAGTTACAAAAATCACAAAAATTACTAAAACTTAAGCTAAAATGAAAATGAAAACTGAACAAACAAAAATAAAAGCTAATTTAAAATATTATAAATACTATAATTGTATATAAATAATACTAAAATATCTCTGGTTTGGGGCAAAACAATAACAGCTCCCACTGACTTTCACTATATTATGAACAATAATAAAAAGACACATTTTTCAAAATATTTTTCAAAAAGTCACCATGAAGGTGGGTAAATAAAGACAGACACCATTATTTTTGGGTGAACTATTCTTTTGAAGTTGCTAATTACTTCCTTTAGGTGAAAGCAATGAAGTCTAATTTGAGGCACAGTAATAAAATGTCTTTCTTTTTTGCCACTAGTTTGAAATTGCATCTTCATAATGTTACGATGAAACACTGTGAATCAGAGCCAAACAACACGTAAAAACTGACCTGTGGAAGAATTCAGACCAAGCTACTTGCATGCTTCTCATCTCTCGCAATTCATCCACAATGCCCTGTGCACTTTAAGATTTAGTAGTAAAACTAAAGCACAAAAAAAAAAAAAAAAAACATGTTTTCAATTTTAGGTCTTCTCCTAAACTGTTTTCTAGCTAGTAAAATTATTATTTTTTTTTGCTAGTGTTCACAATAGCACTCGCATTACCCCTGTAAAGCCTGATATGTGTTATAATAATTTGAAAAAATGCACATATATATATATATATATTTTTTAAACAATTAAACAAAATCTAAAAAGTAAAAAAAAGAATTCTAAAAAGTTTGCATGTGTGACCCTGGACCACAAAACCAGTCATGAGGGTCAAGATTTATACATCATCTGAAAGCTGAATTAATAAGCTTTCCATTGATGTATGGTTTGTTAGGATAGGACAATATTTGGCCGAGATACAACTATTTGAAAATCTGGAATCTGAGGGTGCAAAAAAATATTGAGAAAATCGCCTTTAAAGTTGTCCAAATGAAGTTCTTAGCAATGCATATTACTAATAAAAAATTAAGCTTTTATATATTTACAGTAGGAAATTTACAAAATATCTTCATGAAACATGATCTTTACTTAATATCCTAATGATTTTTGGCATAAAAGAAAAATCGATTTTGACCCATACAATGTATTTTTGGCTATTGCTACAAATATACCCCAGCAACTTAAGACTACTTTTGTGGTCCAGTGTCACATGTGTGTTTTTTATTGAGTATCATATTTTATACATAAAGCTTTTATGGCTCAAATAGTTTGATATAGTGAAAAAATGGAGGGAAAAAGCAGAAAAAAAACACCTCAGTTTTATTCAGAGGACCCAACTAAGCAAAAAATATGAAATATGGTGCAGTTTCTGATATTTATATGTCCTGATGAAACTCTGATAGCTTGTAATATAAACCAATGAGATCTCTGCAACAGTATAGCAGATACCTACATAAAATGCATATAAATATCAGTTGTAACTCTATATCTCCTAATAATATCTCTTAGTAAGATGATATTTAAATACTTAGTTTAGATCCTATTAATAATTTGAAGGCCTTAGAAATTGGTCTCAAATATGATACAGTAGGCTTTATAGGGTTAAGAATGCAAATCCTCCAATTGCCAATTGTAGCCAAATAACGTAAAGTGAAAAGAAACCTGCAGGGAATCGAACTCGGGTTCAGACCAAACAATCAAACAGAGTGTGAAAACAGCCATCGAATGCAGAAACACCAAAATCCCAGATGTACCGTTCAAGACAGACACATGGGCGGCTCGAAACAGGCAAGAGTCACATGACACATGCAGTGCACGTCCCATACTGACCTTCAGGTCCCTGTGCACTATGTCATGATGGTGAATGTGACTGACACTCTCTAGAATCTGATGGATACAATGACTGCAAAGACAAGCGAGAGAGGAGAGGACAGAAGGGAAAGAAACAGAAAAAGGAAGGATGAGAGAGGTGTGACGGAGGAGGTGAGTTAGTCACGGGGAGATGGGACCGGGAAAGGAACAACCCAGATAAGAGAGACTGTTTGATAAGAGGGTGATGAAATGAGATGAGTGATAACGGTGAAAGCCCTGGTGTTACACCACGCAGAACAATAGCAGCGCAGCCGGGCGGGACACATCATTTCCTGTGAGGGCGCTGCCGATCACACGTGGGATGGAGAAATGGAGGGAAGGGTGGATGAAAATGATCCGTGTATGTGTGTTTGTCTGGGTGTTTGAGAGAGTACGGCTGCTTTCTGAGATGCAATCGATATTTTTAACACACATATTTAATACAGAATCAACACTAAAGATGGCCCGCTGAGTCTGACCCGGAAACAGTGTGAGAGCGTTTAGGGCCAGCTGGGACAAAAGTCACTTGTACAGTACATTCAGGCCAGTGCTACTGAAAATCTTACTCATGTAAACGTTTGGTTTTGTCATGTAATCTCCACTTTTGTTGCCAATTCAGGTTTTAGAGAGGTTTACAAATGGCAAAAATGACAAAAAAATGTTTCAGAAGAATTAGCAAGAAAGTATTCATAATTACAAACCTATCAGTCATGTGCTCATTAATTAATTGGTTACATTACAGCTGAATATTTCCAGCTTGTTGCAAGTTTTCATTTTGCAAAAAAAAAAAAAAAATTAGATTCACATTTAAATAATGATAATTTTGTAAATATGTTTTATATAAAATGTATTCATTATTTGACATCAATATGCGTTTTATCTTTAATATAAAAAAATAAAATACAATATATAAGTTTGGGGTCAATAATTTTTTGTTTAAAAAAAGTTAATATTAATAAATCAGCTAGGATGAATTAAATTGAATATTTTGATTTCAAATAAATGCTATATATGTGTATGTGTATATATATATATATATATATATATATGTGTATATATATATATATATATATGTGTATATATA